AAGAAAAAGCACTAAATGGTAGAGCTCAAATGAAAGAAAGATAAGGCCATATTTTCTTTCATTTCTTCTGGTCTTTGTCTTGAAGCTCATCGATGCATGATGTATATATGAATGTTTGTTTCGCATGCAACTCGTCTCAAACTGAATCCGTTAAATACGAACTATCATTGAGTACGGTTCTAAAAATCGAAAATCGGTTTCCAAGGCTGGGAGATGGCCCTTACCTATCTTAGCTTCATCATCTTACCGTAGGCTGAGACTTCTCAGAGAGGACAATCTGAGATATATCTGCTCATGCGAGAGAATGAAAAGAATATTTTTTCTATATTTCTCTCTTTTTTTTGATGTCTTCGATGAATCATCATTCCAAATAGAGGTGGAAATAAACCTTCTTTCCATACAGGAATTACTTTTAAATAAGAACAGACACACGCGACAAGCGGAGTAATTTCAATATTCTCACCTTATTTTTGAATTTTTTTCAAAAAGTCTTTCACCATTATGTAGCTGAAAGTCTCAGTAACTGAATGAAAAAAACAATTTAGACTTTAGCGTTTGAAATTAGGGAGATCTTAGCAGTATAATACATTCTGTTTTATATACTAAATTGCTATCTGCATCTTTTTTATGCCTGCATGACGTTCTATATTTTTCTTTCTGCATGATCTATGTGTCATCAATAAAACAACTCGTGTAGATGATTGTTTTAAAGTGATTCTCATGTTAGAAAAATCCTTTTCCTTTTTCATTCTGCTTTAACAAATGTGGTCGAATGTTGTCGTATGCGAGATAAAGAAAAAGCACTAAATGGTAGAGCTCAAATGAAAGAAAGATAAGGCCATATTTTCTTTCATTTCTTCTCTAACTCATTCAAGCAACCTTCATTCTCCCTGTTTGCTCGCCACGTGTTCTTATCTTATCGAAACATATAGCGACTACCTACTCGTGTATTACATTGTTGTTCACAAAGACAAATGGCAGCAAACAGCGGTACAACTCTCGTTATGAGCGAAGGCTATAACGAAAACTCTCGTCCTCAGTTAGTGTCAGTTGATTCAACAATCTCATATATTCGTGAAGCAGTCGACATGCTCGATATTCAACCTTCTTCTTCTCCTCTCATAATTGCCGATTTTGGTTCAGCGCATGGATACAATTCAATGCATGCCATGAAGATGATTATCCAGTGTCTGAAAGAGGTCAACAAAGTGGAAGACGAAAAACAAATTCTTGTTGTTCATAACGATCTACCCACCAATGACTGGATAACGCTTTTCGATCTTCTTAATAAAGATAATTCGTATCATGGTGTGGCTAACGGTCGATCTTTCTATGAATCGTGTCTACCTCCAAATTCCCTCTCCATCGGTTATTCGTCCACTTCGCTTCATTGGCTTTCGCGTAAACCATGCAATATATCAAATCATTGTTCATCGCTATTTGCTCAAGATGACGAACTCAAAGCATTCCAGGAACAAGCTCGTCTTGATTGGACTAATTTTCTTGAGCATCGGTCACGTGAATTGATTACTGGTGGTATACTTATTCTTCTTATTCCTAGTATTGATGATCGAGGATCGAATGGTTTCGATATTGTCAGAAAAAGCCTCTATAAATGTGCTCAGTCGCTGCTTACTACGCAAGAACTACTTGATTATACATTCCCGATATATGCTCGTTCATATTCAGAATGTATCGATGATCAGCTCTTCGCTCGTTGTTCATTAAAATTGATTAAATCTAATTTTGGTTCAGTTAAAATGCCTTTTATCAAACAATGGCACGACGGAGAAATGACACTGGATGAATTTGCTCGATCAATAACATTATATATTCGTAGTTGGTCTGAACTGACTCTTAAACAAGCACTATTAATAAATAATCGATCGAAAAAAGACATTGAACAAATGTTAAATCAATTTTGGTCTTTATACGATCAAGAAGTAAGAAACGAATTTCATAAAGTATTAGATCTTTGTATGAATTATACCTATTTGGTTTTGAAGAAAACGAAGAGAATCATTGAGTAAAACGAAAGTATACAAATAAAAGATTGTTATTCATTGCCGATCATCTGTGGGACTCTTCACTAAACACGTAGTTAAAGTTAGCACCATATTCAATCTTTCTTTTCCGAATTCTCTCCTTGACTTGTGCTATTGCTGCACAGGGTTGTGCTGAATGCAGAATTCGATTTTGCGTGAAATTATACGGTTGAAAACATATCGTCTACGGCTACATCCACGAAGACCGAAAACGTTTTTGTTGTTATATATGACATAGAGTGAAGAATGATCTACAGCTCTTTGCAGTCGGATTTATGATTTTACGACAAAATACTTGACTGATCGATTGCTATTTCTGTTCAACTTTCACACAGTTAATGCACCGCGTACTATTCATCCGCAGCTGCGTAAAATGCTTTTGTCGCGCTATATGAGATATTACAGCAGTAACCGTGACAACGTGGAAGAGGAATATCAACCGACTGGCCGAGTATTCTGCAAACTTTTTACATTAATTTTAACTTATTTCAAATATTCACGCAAATTAACTTAAAAGCTATTTTTATATGAGTTATAACACAAAAATAAACCTAATTAAAAAATAAACCTAAATTAAAAATAAACCTATTGTTACTAATAGCATGGCAGTCAGTGAGTCCAACCAGAAAATCATTGTAAGAAAAGTCTAGATGACTTTGACTTGACTAGCACAAAATGAAAACATTTCTATGATAGTGAAGGACTAACATGTTAGATAGCCTTGCCCATCCTCTTTCAGAATGATTGATAATTGGCAGTTAAGCTTTTTTCTTTAACCAGTTTATAACTAAAACACAAAACTGAAACAAATTCTTTACCATTATCAACAAGTTCTTTCACTGCTCAAAAATTTCTCTTATATATAGTCAAAACCAGCTTAAACTTTTAGGTAACTTTTGATCCATTTTATCAAACAAGCTCAATTTCTTTTTACTAACACATAGAACCGACTAATATTCATCTCTGGTAAAAAAAATTCATTGAGATGGAGAGCGCAAAAGTCAAAAACATCCAATATCAAGAAAACTTCAGACATTGAATGGACACGTGAGTTTTCATGAAAAACCGAATCTTTTAACAATAACTATGGTGTATGCACGTGCCATATAAGTGAAGTGCAATATCATTGTAGCATACGTGTTCTGCTCTCGTGAAACTGCTTCTACTAGTCAAACCACATTTTGGTATGAAATATAAAATGAGGATTATAGGTTCATAAATGGTGGGTAATATTGTTAAAGGGCTGTGTGGGAACATTCGATCAGATCGTTTATTGATATTTTGCGCAAGATTTTAGTAACTGACGGCAAGAAACTAAAAGATAAGGTACAGAATAAAAATTAGAACGTTCAAAGGCTAAGTGCTGTCAAACTTATGCTACTTCTTTACATAATACATTCATTATACAGCATACAGCTTCATAGAACTTTTTCAAAACCTCTAGCAGACGTACCCGAACGATTGTGCTGGATCTGTACATGTGACTTTGACTTTGATCTGAGAAGTATGATTTACTTTCTCAATTAAAGGTGATAGATCTACATTCTCGTGTCTTACGTGGTTTAGTAACGGTACAAACTCGTGAAGAAAATAATCCAGTAAGACAGTCATCTGAAAAGAAAGAAAAAGAAAAAGTTTTTGATAACCGTTGTTGTAACTAGGGATGCACCGAGACTGGATACTCAATACCCAAAACTTTAGTCTCACATAGTCTAAAGTCTCGATATAAAAGTGCCGGTATTGAAACTTTTCGAGGCTTTTTCGAGATTCGAGATTTCTCGAGACTATTTTTTATGTTCTGTATAAAAGATTTCTCTAGTGAATATGTATTAGACGTAATGACAAAAGACATTTTTCTGGAGTAGATATTTTGTATGGTAACTTTTTTGATACTTTTAACCATTAAAAGTGAAAACTTCATGTAGCATATAAAGTTAGCTAACTAAGCGTTACTTATTTTAATTTCCTCAGATTAATTTAATTAAAATGAAATGAAAGAGCATACTACCATCCTAATTATTCGCACTAGTATAGAACTGTTGAGCATTTTACAGTAAGTAAAAAATCCAGGTTTTATATTGTATAGAAAATGCATTCGATTTTGTAAAAAGAAAAATATCTTTTAGGACTTTTTATAAAAAATTCTGAAAGTTATTGTCTAATTTTTCATAAAATCGCCTCATTTTTGGACAAATTAACAATTTTCTAGAAATTCAACGATGTTCTAGAAAATGGCATTTTCTTTCATAAATTCAAAAACACCGTTTCTTCTAAGAAAAAATAAAATTTTCTGCTACACAAAACAGGTTGCTCGATTTTCTCAGCAAACAGGAAGATTCTATACAAGTAATAAGAGTAGTTACAGTCAGATGTTTTTTCCGTACACAGGGATTGAAATTTTTCTTGATACATTGCACCTACTGCTCTTTACTGTGCTGCGCTTAACTAACAATCTCTAAGCGAACTTGGCATGCGATTATCTGTCATAACATTTCCCTTAATATAATCTATTCACGTTACTTAAGCGTAGGAACTGTCTCAACCTAAAAGAAAATTAGTTAGCGATATTCAAAGAAAACTTGGTAAAAAGTATAAGAGACAAATAATTTGAAGGTGGAGCAGTAGAAATAAATCGAGAAATTATTAAGTATAAAACTGGCACGAAAATCATAATAGATTTTTAACAAAAATTTATTATAAGAGACAAGACGTGCAATCCGTTTTAATGGTTGGAACCTTATTAAAATATCTTGTTCAAATAACAAAACAAAAGCAGTTCACGCGTTTCGTTTATGGTCTTCATTTGCACAAAAGAAAAGAGGCTGTTAGATATACAGCGAATGAGTCAACGGAACTACTCACATCCAAAACAATCAATAGAATTTTATGTTTGTTTTCTTCCCTCGTGAGTATAGTTTTCTGTAATTTTTTCTATAAAAGGTCGCAACAAATAAAAAACTCTATATTTCTTCTTATCAAAAAAACCCAGAATCACTCGAAACTCGTAAAAATTGAGTTCTGATGGAGAAAATTGCGAATTAGAGGCAGAATTTCGATTTTTCCCAGTAAAGTCGACTTTTCTCAGCAGGAAAACACAACTTAGAAAAATGCGAGCTTTATTTTGAAGTCGACACTTCAGCAAATATAATGGGATGAAAATGGTAGTTCCAATCCTTAACACAAAAAGCCAGATATGTTTGCAAAATGACGTGTCGAATTTTAGAGTTCTGGATTAGAATGTCCATCATTCATAAATAGACCTTTAACTTTGGAATAAATCATTCTTCATGGTGAGAAACAGTAAATATCGCTTTTCACTGTGAAGATTGATTTGTACGAATTTGAGCCCAGCCGATAAGAGTTACGAAGTTAGATTTGCCACATTTTGGCCATGAAACTCAATTTTGAGAAACTCTCACTTCACTGTGAAAAATCAGGAAATAGCCATTTGGAGTATATTTATGATTTTTCATCATGAAAAACGATTTTTAAAAATCTGGTATCAACAGATAAAACTTAGAAAATTAAATTTCCTATATTTCATGATCGAGACCCAACTCTCTCACTTGAAGAGATACAATCCGGAAATAAGTTATGAGTTTTTTAACAGTAGACATATCAAAGAGTTTTAGGCTAGGCAGATCTCAACACGTCTTTGACAATTTGAAACAGTGTATCATAATCTGAAACAGATACTGTACGATATTATCCCATTTCCTGTGATTTTCAGACAAAATAATTCTCTATGGGATTATATCAGTTTTTACTGTAATAGCGTCTTATCTGATTAGTCAACATCGACTATATCATCGAAGTCACAGCTTCAATGGTCGCATATTATACGATCATACTAAATTTCGTTAAAGATCATGATCTTACTTATTTTATTTTGCTTGGGCACATTATCTGGATATTGAATAAGATGAAGTTCAGCATTCGACACTGTTCCAGTATAGGCTCGATAATGTGGACTCGAAGTCCATGGCTCAGTCTGACAACAGTATTCATCTTCACCGTCTGCACAGTCTAATATACCATTACACCTCTCATTGGGTATACATCTCCCATTGAAACAATGAATGTCTCTAAAATCTTCCATACCCAGCGCATCGGTGCCATCACATTTTAACTCTTTTGTTGTTCAGTAAGTAAAAGCACAGTAGTTTACCTTCACCATCCTCTCAACGGATATTGCACTGATCTTTATCGTTTCTGTAGTCGTCAAACAAAAAGTGGCATTTGAAATGAAATCCCAACATATGTGTCGATGAAGAGCTGAGACTGCTTCGTTCATCTAAGTGTCCGGTAAGTAAGTCAACGAAATGAAACTTCGCTTGCTATCTGCATAAGAAGATCTGCTCTATACATATAGTCCAGCATATGTGGCACATGCTCCTGCACGTATCTATCGGACAGAGGATGGTCGATAAACTACAGGTACACTAAACAGACAGATATAATATGTATCTTTAAGGCAAAAACTGCACTTTAATATTGTTTTGCGTTTTTCTCGAAATGTGTTTTTTCAATAGTATCTTCAAACGCGTCACATTACGAGCCGTCGAAAAAATGGTCCGATCGAGCTCAAATTTTTTCCACAGATACTTCAGACCCTGTCTTAGGTCTAAAGTAATCTTTTTAAGCGTTTACGATTTCAACTTACGGTGTGAGAAGGTTTTTAAAATCAAAAACCAGTTTTCTATACAGGATTTTTAGGACTTTTTGAACATCTCGAGAAGGAAAGCATATTTTTCGGAAAAAAAATTTACATCCTGAGATAGGATCTGAAGTATCTGTGGTAAAAGCTTCAACTCGATCGGACCATTTTTCCAAGCGGGCGTAATGTGATCCGATAAAAACTGGAGTTTTCCAGAAAACCCATATAAGAACAGCTCAGAAAATTCTGGGCAAAAATAAACTGATTTTCTTCTTCGATGTTCTATCTCTGCTATAAGTTTGAGGTCAATCAGACGTGTGCTCCGCATTTGACAACAAGGTGAAAAAAGAGGGGAGGATACCCTTAAATCTACTAAATTTTTGTACCCATCAGTCCAGAACAGGCATAGACATCATTTACGCTTTGTTTGTGCAAAATTTTGCAGCTATCTTTAGCTTAAGGTGAACTTCCTAAGCGAATATTTTTTCAGCTTTTTGAGCAGGAAGATTGAGAGTTCGATGAATTTTTAGTATCTTAAATAAATTGTCAGCAAACTGTATTCGGAATATTTCATAGTAACATATTTTGGTTACAGCGTTTCACACTTTCGACTGACATATAATCAACGTGTGTGAAATAGAACAAAACTGGATACTAAATGCAATTCTGAGAGTGATGCTGTTCTGGAAAAACTTTGTGATTTCTCCCAAAAAATTTATTTTAATAGGAAAAATGGAACTGTTTAAGCTAAGAATTTGAAAACATTCTTTTGCACGTTTAATCGAATGAGTCCTGAAAAATGAGTATCAATATCTAATGGTTAAAGATAGTTTTCAATCCATTCGTTATGTTTGTTTAGAAGTAAGTAGTACTTACGGATGGTTCTTTTGAAAGATGCATGCCCGCCCGATAAAGCAAAAAATGTTCACTGTAAGCGGTACATTCTCATAGCCAAATACTAAGTACGTCTTGCTTGTACCACACTTTGTAATTATTGGGATCATACGTATTTAAGGTAGTTTTGTTTATTGAGTTTGATAAGAATTGCTTCGCATATTTTTCTTCTTCTTCGTCTTCTTCTTGCTTGGTACGGTCATCAACAATCTTGACATCGCCGACATTGAAAACAACATCACGATAAAACTTAAGCTTTAAATAGACAAGTTGTTTATTGTATCTCAAAAGTGGATCAATAGTTCGCTCGAACACCATACCGTCATCTTTATTTTTTACTGAACTAATATACAAATAATGCAAACATGGAAATACTGTTGATAAATGTTCAATTGTATTTGCATCAAAGGCATTCTCATCTATATTTCCTAATTCCAAGTTAAATTTCACAATATTCGGCAGTCGGACATTGTCAGAAATAAATGTTAATGGTCCTTTACATGAATCAAGTGCATCCTTGTAAACAACGGTGAGTGACGTTAAAACTGGACAAAGCTGAATACAGTTTTCAACGAAAGACGCATCAATTTGATTTATGTTGAGTGGTATAATTCGAAGGTGTGTCATATGTCGCAGATGAGCACAGTTGAGAACACCTGTTTTTGGTGAAGTTTTAAATTTACTAAATGTCAGTATGTTAATATTTGGAAACATACAGGCAATTTGATTCAGTTCAGTTACTGATATGGAATGTTGAAGAGATATGTGACGCACCAATGAATAATTATCGATCAATTCTCTGTTTGTTCGACGAATTGTAGTTACAAGACTTTTCGACATTGAGAAGTGCTTAGGTTTGAATGGTTCAGTGTGAAAATAAATGTAAGATTCTAAATCTGAGCTAGAACAGGCAAGATACCAACGTTTCTCATTGAGCCAAAAATAAGTGGAAAACGAATCGATTATTCTATCGATATCAGACGGTGTGGAGTTTGAGTTAAAGTAATAGATGCCACATTCAAATTTTGACAATTTCGAATATTTGGATAATAAATTTTCCCACAAGTTACCGTCGACATAGCTCTCATAACATGTTGATGTATGAAATGAGAAATGCTCAAGAGTGGTTGTTGGTATGGAATACATGATGTATAAAAATATTTCAAATGGCCATGGGTCATGATCCTCGAGCGTCAGGCAGAAGTGTTTCAAGCATTCTAAGATGAATACAGTGTTCGCATAAAATGATCGAAGGTTGTTGATATGGCAACATTCACAAACGGTGATTTTCAAGCACTCAATTCGTGGGATTATTTGAAATATCGTGAACATATCAAATAAATGTATGACACTGAGTGTCAGATGTTTGACACGCAGCTCCGGGAAGAATTTATACCTGTCGAATGAATAATGAAAGCTTAAAAGAGGTAGTGTCAGCTTCTCGATAAGATATATACCGCGTAGATACTCAATGATCTTCGGCTCACCTTCCCAGATAGCGAGCATTATGTCTTCGAGCGAAATATCGAGTTCATTCAGACGTTTCAGTGTTGGTAACTGCGATAGATATTTCATACTCGCTTGTCTCGAACAGTGAGATAGAGTCAGTTTTTCGAGATTAGGAAATGTCTCATGTACATTAATAATATTAGCAAATAAACGAACTTGATCAGCTGAGTATTCGTTACTTAGCGTCAGTGTTCGAACGTCAGCTTTGATTGAAGGTATTATATAGGTGCAATAATCTAGAAATTCACGAAACACTGTTTTAGACAAATCGAGTTTATGACGATATTCTATAATAGTTTGATTCAAACGAGTGCTTTGGTCGTTGAATGACGTCAAAACGTTGTATGGTGATAAATAACGACAGATAACCAATATTATTTCATCTGGTAGATGTTCCAAAAGAGATTTCATTTCGTAGTTTGTGCAAATTACTACACGAATAACGTGCGCGTTACAATCGATATAAGTTGACCTTTCTTGAAGGAGTGCTGTTGTGCTTAACGATTTTTTCTTCTGATGTATTGAAGAATCTAAAGTTCTGCCAGTCATTTGATCGTGTTCGCTTCATTTTATTTTATTGAATGAAAGAAGAAAAACACTTGAAGTGAATAACTTAATTGAATTAATAAAGCAATGAATAGATCTACGTTCTTTAATTGAACCGATAAATTACCTGAAGTTGCTTTCTTCAGAAATATTAGCAGCAGTCGCAATTCACAACAACGACGAAATAATAACATTGTTCGTAACATTATTTGTACTTTTAAATAATACCGGGTAACTGTGTTTGACAAACCAACAATCAATAGATTTCAAATGCATATATAATCGTCTCATATGCGTGTCTAGAATGAAAACATTAAAATAGGTTCGAAACATTATTTAATCTTTTTCATAGTTTTCTTTTTTTCGTGTCAGTTCGCTTGTCATACTTATTTTCGTTAAAAACAGAAAATGAATCTCTTACACTATTTTCAAGTTTAGTGACTTGGCCTCTAAAACCAAAGGCCAAGGGGTGGTGGTGGGCACTAACCAATCAAGCAAAGTTTCTGAGCTTCGCTAAGTATTCCATTGGAAAGAGAACATCTGAAAACCTATAAAAAACGTGTTTGCCGGCGAAAAAACGTGTTAAGTGCGGAAGTGTCTCAATTATGTGTTCGAACACCGTTATTTTAATTATTGATATTATTAACCAATATTTATGTTATCAAACAAGCAAATCAAACAACAACAAAATATCCAACTATCATTCAACAATCTATACAAATTTTCATCTTTATTTTAATAGTTAAAAGTGTTTTAATTTAATCTCATATCCGTCATGACATTGTTTGACATATATTCTATATTATTTTTTTATTATATTTCCCCCGGATGGAAATACTTTAGAAAAATGTCATATTAAATCTTTACTTTTTTCATATACAATATTGTTCTGTTTTAATATTCGTTCATTCGCTTGTTTCGCTTCCGCTTTTGAAATGACGATAAGACCATCGTTTTCCAATTCAAACCGAATATATTCAACGAGATCATTCGCCAGTAGCCCTTCCAATACTTCGTTCATCTGCTTCATAGTTTTGATTTCAACATTATTCACTTTAAACAATCGTTTATTATGACAACTAGACGTATAACCATTATTTATTGTATCGACAAGTATTTGGCTCAATATAATTATTTGTTCATCTTTCTCTTGTTTCAATAGTGTTCTATTCAACACATAATCAATCAAATTTGTTATACCAAACGCAAAAGCACACCGATACCACTCACTTGTTGCATACGCTTTTAAATAACTGCGCGTAAGCGGAGTGAACACTATACCAGCATATATTATATATTGGGGTAATTGATCGTGTAAATGATATGGGACTGTCGTCGGATTTGAATCTAGAGAACATGTTATTGTCAATTCGCGATTGTCGCGTATCACTGACAGACTTATTTCTTCATCGATAAATTTTGATTTTTCGATGGAACGAAACGATATACGTTCGCCTCGACGAAAGTGGATTGTTCCGTCATCACCCAGTGGTATGCCATCGATACTCGTGATAACATCGTTCTTTCTCAGAACTTGACTAATTAAACATGCCCGTTCAATTCCATTTACAAGAATACCATGTTTATTAGGTGGTATGGCGAAATATTCACGAATGCTCTTATTTTCCATTGGTGTCCAGTCAAATGCGAGACGAGGGAAGCCAGTATAACAAGAATGTATGTCAATATCATCAAGAAAATGGAAAATAATTGGAACAGGAATGATATAACCAATATTTTGACTTTGTGCAATACCTAGATTATGAGAAAAATAGAGTGCAGAGTAACTTCTATCCATAGTATGGCCGTCGATGTGTTCTGAATAACTTTTTAACGGAAAGTAACAGAACTGTACAGTTTTCAGCAATCGATAGAAGAGCCATTAAGATAAGAATTTATGAAAAAATTCGATCTCACGCGAAGGTGTACTATGGTGTACCTTTCCAAGGAAGTTCCGAAATATTGTGATTTCGTGAAAAAACAATGGATTTCAAACTGAACTATGACTACGAGATAGTCCAGACATCGTTCTTTGAAACTACACAAGCCCCAAATCTATAGTTCTTATGGTCCGAGAGAGCAGAGATTGCCTGTATCCTCAAAAACACGGTAGATGGAGGTTTGAACTAGATTGTAGGCCGACTGATGTTAGATATCCACTTGAATTCAGGAGAACTTGATTTCATCATAAATCGAAGTCCCCCGATATCTACTTCAGGAAACTGCAGCTGACTAGCTCTTTTTGTTAAAAAGTTATCGAAAATGTGCGCTACCATTCTGTTCTGAACGTATAGTACGGTGCCTATTAGCAATAAGAAAGGTTTCAGTCTTCGTTAAACATACCCTGAAATGCCACGCCAACCACATGCGTTCCTTGAATACATGGTCCACCTGAATTCCCCATATTTATCGCTGCATCAATTTGTATTGTCAACAGTTGCTCCAGGCTATGTGAATACGTTGAAATCGTCACGCGTGACACAACACCTTTAGTTACACTCAAGTTGTCACCGCCCGTCGGATAGCCAGCAACGACTACCGTTTCTTGCAGACGAGGCAAATATCCAAATGACAATTCTTGTAAACCGATCCAAAATTGTTCATCATCAACCGTCAACAAAACCAGATCACATTCATGTCCAATGTGTAGAACTCGTGCCACATATTTCGTTACATCCCCGTGTTTACAAATGCGAATGTTTGTCGGGTGTGTTGCACCATGTGCATTACCCATAATCCATCTTTTTGACGGATGAGTACTAATAACGAAACCACTCGATGTACAATTTGTTTGAGATAGCATCTGCCACGGCATGTGAAAATTGGGTGCTGTGCTTGTACAATATACTTTAACGACACTCGCGAGGAACAACTCTGAAGAGTTGATCGATTCATTTAGAACATTACCCGTACTTGTTTCAATAGTATCCGTTTTTGATTCTGTTTCTAGCCAACATCGACGTCGACACTTTTCTAATGAGGATGGAATTTGAGCAAGTTGAGAATCGCATTCAGCCAAAGTTGATACGCCAGATAGAAGCGACTCGATCATGATTATACTACTATAGAATGTTGCAAGAAAGTGAATCGTAGCTTCATATAAATAGATTAGACTATTTACATTTCTCTTTCGTATTGGAAGAAAACATTTTGCTTTTCACGTATAACTAATCTTCTTTATATTTTTGCAACCATTGGATGATAGAACTCTTATTGATTATCATTCGTTTCTCATGCGTCATCTTATTGTCCACTGCATACGATTAAGTCGCCAGACGATACACGTAACAGACGGACATTTTTTTACAGTTTTCTTTTTCTGTGTTAGCGACCGCGCTAAGAAATATTCACTTAGTTTTTTGAAAATTTATCAACTTTTCAGGTTCCTTCGCGAGATCGCGAGTCTATGGCGATCGCGTCGCGAACATTAATCGTGTACTGAATCTTAAAATAAGATTCTTTTTAAAACAAAATTAGGCCAAGATCAGTTTTCTTTTTCATTTTTTTAAAAAAAGAAAGCGGAGGAGTGATTCAATCGAGTATGTTATTTATTAGTTTGACGATGAAGATCTCGACCCAGGTCGATTTCGTTTTCCAGAAAGAGAAACTGCCTACAGTGTTTTAAGAGAAGTGCGTCCATCTCATTTCTAAAATAGAGTGCAGAGTAACTTCTATCCATAGAATGGCCGTCGATGGGTTTCGAATAACTTTTTAACGGAAAGTAATAGAACCGTACAGTTTTCAGCAATCGATAGAAGAGCCATTAAGATAAGAATTTAGGAAAAAAATCGATCTTACGTGAAGGTGTACCATGGTGTGCAATAGAACCGTACAGTTTTTAAGATAAGAAGGGAATTATAGATATAGGTATCTAACAAAAGAATGCAGATAAGTCAAATATATCTTTCCCGTTGAAATAACACATATATGTATTTTATCGTTTATAAGGCTTAATACAACTGAGTCAACTTTTCTCAGCGCAGGTCAATAAACTTCTGCAATAAAATTTCCTAAAAAATGTTCCAAATTCTTTTTAAATTAGTACCTTAGTGAATGCAGTATACTATGGGTACGACTTTACTCATAATT